TTTATCATATGAAATATACAGTTATCAGCCGACGTTACAGGCGTTTATCCCCCACCCCTGCAATGAATTGGTTACGCAATTCCGTCGGTAAATGTGAATTGAATTTGCAAGTTGATGACAATTGTTTCAAATTTGCGATGACCTCTTGCAATGACTCTCCTTCGACCTGATGAGGACTCTAATTTTTGTCGTTCTGCCACATCCAGTGTGGGATGTTGGAAGAGTGCAGACAATGCGTGAAACATTACATCTAGCGTTTTCGTAAAGAGTTCTTTAGGATTTTCGCACATCGGTTAATACTTGGCGTTGTCGAATGAGTACACTCCCATGCAGTTCTTCAGGTATTTCATTAACAATCAGGAAATTTTTGAATCGTATCCTGTATACGCGCGACTATTGCGCGCGGCGATGGTGTAACGGTTAGCGTATCGGACTGTTGTGCCCAAGTTGGCGGGATCAAACCGGATCGAAGCCATGGGCCACAGGCGAAAAAATCCTTCGCATGCCTTCCTTAGGAGAGGAAGTAAAGCCGTCTGTCCCATGTTAGTAGATTTACTTGCATGTAAAAGATCCTCAAGCCTAAATGACGCCTCTGAGCTAAATTCAAATAGCCTATCTCTCGCCCAAGAAATACCTCCTTTCTCTGCTAGTTTGTGAGAGAAGCGTAGCGAAAATTTGCGTGGTCAGACGAAAGAGCAGGCCTCGAGTCTTGCCACGTAAAAGAAGACTTCCATTCAATACACAGAAAAGTGGTAGGCAGCAGGATCAAACGGTGCCACATAAACAACGGTTCCTATCATGCTTCCTATAAAGGTTCGTATAATGCCAACTATGCGGGATGTATCCGATTTAAATTTTGCCTAAGCTGATTCTATTTTAGACATGGTGTTTCGACGACTGCGCCGTATATTGTGAATTTGAAGAAAGCGTATTCGTAGATAAATAGTTTAACTGTAGAACTTAAACAATCATATTTATTCACATTTACTTGAGCAACGGAGCTCAAGTAAAAAAACCGGCAGCTGGTGCTCGTATACTACATATCTGAGTATTAAAATGGCACAAACCACTAATTTCTTCTGGGTTTTATCTCGTGTAGCAGTATTTTCAAATGATTTCTTTCCCCTTATTAAGAAATGCGCACGTGCCGCGGTGGTCAGTGGCTTGTGAAATAATGCTAATTTTTTTTAAAGTAATGCTCACGTATTGCAAAATGAATGACCTCTATGACGTGTGCGGTGATAGTTTGGAAACACTATTGCAAAGTACCTATTGTTACGCGTTATTGCTGTTTTTGTACGTTCTTTCCCTTATGTAAGAAGAGAAAGTATTGTAATCTTGTGCCAGAAAATGACGAATTTTCGACACAAAAACTTTTATTGCCGGGCCGAAGTAACGTAAGAATGGTAACGAAAAAGTGGATAAATCTTGTTCCTATATATTCACAAAATAAATTTCTTAAATTATTTCCTATATCAAATTGTGTAGTATAAAACATTGTGATGTATGTTCTTCATACTAAATAATTGACGGCAAAACGTCCATCCGTCTGAACAACGCTAGTACGTAAATCGTAAGTAGGACTTTCACGAAAATATATTATTGTTTTTTTTTTCATTTTGTCATGGTCCTTTGAATTTGAAAGCGCTGTTTTATTTTGGGGAGGTACTTTACAGGCAGTTCCTAGGACATTTTCAAATCTTTAATTTTAATGTTTGAAGGCCAATTTAAAAAAAAAATTCGTCCCACACATATATGTGTGTGTGTAAGTGAGTGTGTGTGTGTGTGATATTTTCAGGGAGGAAACGTCAAAAATAAGCTCTTATGTCAATTTTAATTGCATTTTATCTAATAAACTACGTGGATATTCCGAACGGTTATATCGCAAGTACTCAAAAGTGTGTTTTTAAAAATTGCCTTTTAGACAAAAATTTGTATTGCAGAAGCATACTTACCCTCCAGAAACATGTAAATTGCACATTATTTACAAAAGAAATGGATATATTTGTTCAGGAAGAAAAAAAATTAAGCTAGAAATGAGAAAGCAGTCAAAGTGGTGTAAGTAGGGTGCTTTTTTTATTTGTGTGTTAATGTTTCTTTCTGAAACAAATATGTTATAATATATATATATATTATATATATATATATATATATATATATATATATATATATCCTTTCGTAAATAATAATCCATTTACATGCTTCTGGAGTGTCTTTGCTTCTGAAATGCACATTTGTACCTAGAAAGCATTTTTTAAGTCGCAATAAGCAACTTTTGAGTGCTTATTGCGACTTAACCATTCGCAATATCCACGTAGTCTATTAGAGAAAATTGTCTTAAGAACTTATTTGCGAAAATAATGTTTCAAATCACGCAGCAGACCACACCGAAGAATGTTACCAGAAATGTGTGACGAGAAATGTGAAAATCGAATCAAAGAACACATATCGACCCTCACTCACTTGAAAGTGTTTTCTCGCTTGCTTCTGCAGAGGCGAAGGAGTTCCTCGCTCAAGGCGTTCAGCGAGTGAGAGTTCTCGGACGCATTTCTACTCCTTCATTTGTTATACGACATAGGTATTCGCTGCCATAGGAAAATACTAAACAGGGCGTAGAAACGAGTGAGGTTATAATATTTTCCAGTAAAAGATGTAATAAACAACTAGGTTTTTGAATTTCGATCTTGATTTTTTTTAAATGGAAATGAACTACGAAATATTTGTGTGGAAAATATTATTTCTTGTAACAAAACAGTACATAATGAGCAATGTAAAAATAAAGATTTGAAGCAAGAAACTTGAAAGGGTATTTTGAAAGAAATGAATTAATATTTTATTGTTTCTTAATTCACATTTATTTAGAAATTAATCTATTAATTGTGAAAATTATACTATGAATTATGTGATCATTCACCATTTATTCATAACTCAACTAACAGAGAAAAACAGACAAGAGGAGAAATATCGGAGCTCAAGAAAATTTTCCTAGGAACATAGATTGTACATCTTCTCTATACGTCACTGAGAGAATTGATTGTTGCTTTGGAAAATGATTTGAATCTAGTAGGTGTAATTCGAGGTATTGCTCTAAATTGGTTATGGTCGTACCTTAAACAACGATCTCAGAAAGTAGAAATGTCTTACTGGAGTAATGGAACATTATGTACACACCTTTCCCTTTTCTTTGTCAATTGCATGTCCCGCAGGGATCCCACAGGGATCGACTTTAGTCCCTATTTTAGTCCCGATATGCCCTAGACGATTAAAACCGAAGAACAGTTATCTTTGAGGATGATACGAATATTCTTTGCAAAGAAGAAACCGCAAATAGTACAATATCAGATATTTCATATTGGTTCTGCAATCACATTAATAGTAAATGAAAATAAAACGGTTTCAATGCAGTTTTCCATTTCAACAGCTCTGTACTCCTTTGAAAATGAACGGTGTGCCATTGAATGATGCTAAGGTAACAACATTTTTAGGTCTTCCAACTCAGTCAAGCCTTAAGTGGAACATCCATTTAAATGAATTGAACACTCAATAAAGTTCATTATGCTATGCTTTCAGAATTCTTTTAAATTCATACTGTTCGTTGTGTATATTTCGCGAATGTTCATTCCCGTCTGACATATGGCATAATATTCTGTGGAAATATATCTTCTAGCTCCCAGACTTTGATTACAAAAAAGAATTGTAAGAATAGTAAGCAAATTCCACCCAAGTGATTCTTATAAAACTCTCTTTATTAATCTAGATTGTTTACCAGTACCTTGGCTTCTTGATATATGAATCAGTGGTTGTTGTCAAAAATGACTTACTTAAAGGCGGGAATATATTTTCAGCAAACGCCGATGTCTATAAGCACAACACTCGACGTAGCAATCATATTCATCAGGAGACAGTATTAACAGAGTAGAAAAAATCCACATAAAATACATGTACATTCTTTTACAATACCTTGCCAGATGACATTAAACGATTAAATTCCATACAAAAGTTTAAGTCCCAAGTAAAATCTTTTCAGCTGAACAACTGTTTTCTACAATTAGAGACTGTACCGAGCATCCAAAAGGAAAGTAATATTAATTTTAAAATGACATTTAATGTATTATTTACCATTTGGATTGTATTATTCTAAAGACCTCGTAACAATGATTGTACTTCAGCTTCTGGGTCAATGACCCCCATCTCAATCAGGGTTTCATCCAGTTTCCCTGAGCCTTGAGCAAATGCTGTGATGACCCCTTGTTTTGCTTCTGGTCATAAATGTAACTTCAAATTAACTTCTCCCCATCGCACGTCATACAAAGTCTTTAACTGGTTTTGACATAAATAAATAAATAAAGAGAAGAATTTAGTTAGTTTGTTGATAGTAGTCCACATTACTGTTTGGATGAATTTGTTCTATGTAATTTTGATACTTGTCCAATTCCTATTTATCTATACGCGATTTAATTGGTCGTGATAATTTATATTTTTGGCGTTTGTTATCTGGTCTACGTGTTTGTTGCCAAAATTTTCGTAAGTTATGTTTTGATTTAATTAGGTTTAATCATTAATTAATTATGTTAATTAATTAATCAAAATTAATTATTTTAATTAAATATTTAAAAAATGAAATGTGTGAAAGGTAGTTCATATTTAATAAAGACTTAATGTCGTAAATATTTCTATTTCGCAATCAATTTTTAATAGGGTTTGCGTTTTGGGGAATTTATAATTATCATTCATAAATTTTCTAAAACTTTCCCAATTGATATGTATATTATTTGGTGTTGATTGAATATGTAGTAATTGAGATCGAAAGAGATTATTGCCGGAGGATGGACATAATCTAATTCCGGGATAGGTTATTGATAAATTGAAAAGTGAACTTCTTTTGGTATGATAATACCTAGAATGTCGGGAATATTATTATTATGAGAAGAATAGTATGTGTGTACGGAGGGAGCATGTATTTCAATGTTATTGTGTGTAATGTATTGGAGTACACGAATATGGTGAGGGTTAGTAGTTACATCCCCACGAGGTATGTTTAGAATTGAAATCACCAAAAAATAAACAATTAGGGTCTTGAAAAATGTTATAAATTGTGTGCGTAAGTATTTTATTAGGTGGTTTATAAGCCTCATATATATTACTGATATTGATAGCGAATTCTATACATTCTAAATTTAGTGAAATAGAGACGAAATTTAGTGAAAATTCTAACTTTAGTGAAATAGAGTGAAAATGTTTGTTGATCACGTATAATAGTTTTAGCGGTATGGCTACATCACCAGAAGCGTGCGCAGAGATACGATAATTTCTGTACATTTTGTATCCTTGGATGTATATTTTTTCTCCTGGTAATGAATGTGTTTCACTAGTCCATGCTATGTCAATGTTATACTTCTTTAAAAATCTTAAAATACGTTTTTCTGTCTTTTTAGACCATTTGCATTCCAATGTAATAGTTATAGTATTTATATTAATAGTAAATTTGGAAGAAGTTTCAATTAAATTTGTGGAATAAGCTAAGAAATTATTTTTGTACAATATTTTATATTACGTTTGAAAAGTTGGGTGAGAGCGATTTTTAGTAATGAAGAAATAACCATTATTATTATAATAGTTTTGTGAGAAGTGAGTAGAACGAGAATTGGTACAAGCAGTAGTAGTAAAATTGTGTTGAGAAGGATGAGAGGTAGTCGACAATGAAGGGAAAATTTGAACATTTAAATTACGAGTAGTAATGCCAATGTTTGAAGTGGGATTAATTGGAGCATTGAAAGAATGCTATTTATTAGAAAGAGAAAAGTCATTATAAGTTTTGAAAACCTTTTAATTTGTAATAAGATTACAGCGCCAAATCGCTGACTTATTTTACATTGAAGAGGTATTTTAAGAGACGTTTCTACTTGAACTTTAAATTATTCTATAAAAAAGGTTTTCTAATTTAAATATATTTGAAACATCTGGATTTTTTTATTGATCTATTGAACAGATTTTAATACGTTATCGTTTTTTATTGAAGAGGCGATAAACTTTTTGAACTGGAATTTGTAGTCGTAGTAATTCCATATATATTTCTTTGCTAGTTTAACTAATAGGAATGTATTTAATTACAACAGAGATAGTTTGAATCGTTGAGCCACGATAAAAATAAAATTGGATACTATTTGATTCACAAAAGGTCCTGTAGTTACGAAAGTCGTCAATTGAACTAGATGTAATTTGCACTGCATTTTTGATTGTTTTTGTAGAAAAGTGACATTAACAATTTCTTGTAAATCGGCAAAGAAATTATGAAAATTATTGACGTTTGATAAAATGATGGGATCCTGATTTGAGGGCGTTGTTCTTTTGTTGGTTGTACTTTCGAGAGTATTGCATATTTATTAGCTAATATAATTCCATAATTTAATGAAATATTATTTGTTTTAGCCAGACTTTTATCTGAATAATGACTGTGATAAGCTCTTTCGATAATCACATTGTTGCTGAGAACTGCCTGACGTAATTCATATTTGCATTAGGCGTTGATGAAACATTTGGATTCAAATTGAAATTACTTTGTTGAATGGGGAAAGTTGAAACAATAGAGACTCGCTTGGTGAGCATAGTTGCATATTTGAGAGAAGAATATCTCGATTTTGTTGCAAAGTTCATTAGTTGGACGAATTATCTTGCGTCGGAGTCGCATTGATACTATTTGACTATACTATTCATAGCCACATAAGTTGAAGATAGGACAATGTTTAAATCAGAGATTGCTATTGAACTGAATCTACCCGTAGGGGGAAAGTTAATATGGTCCACTTTAAAAGTTTTTTGATATCTTGCCAGCAAACGCTTGTGACTGATACTTTCGCCGTTGTATCTTTCCTTAACTACACAATCTCTTGATCCTTGGATGTGTTGTGATTCATACATCCAAACTCGATATCCACGGCCTCTCAGTGCACATCCAAGTAGTATCCCATTTTCTGCTCTGAGCGTTAATTTGGAATGCTGTTTGGGTTTTAGCACATGAACGAAAACTTCACTGCCTATTTCTCGCAGATGACTTACACTGGGCTTTCTCCCTGTCCATAATTCATAAGGAGTTTTGAATTGTTTTTGAATTGTTTTGATAGTTTATCGCTGGCAACAGTGCATTGCTCGCTTCTATATAATTTGCTGTGAATACTGTAACAGTCAAATTTATTCCTGTTTGTTTCATTTGTAAATATAAGATTGCTGCTCCTCACTGTCGAAATAAATACAGATATGCATCGTAGGCGCTTAGTTTTAATTAGTTGAACTGGACGTTTTCGAGTAATAGCTGAGGTGTTTGAAGTGCAGAAATTGCAATATTTCAATATTAGGTAGCTGTTTCAAACAATGCGAATAAGTATGTGCCGTTGTAGCTGCACTAGTTTTTAGTTGGATAAAGTTTTATGAGGGAGGCCCCCATTTAATTTCAGAACCGGGGCTCCCGAAGGGCTTGTTACGCCATTGTCTTTAAATATATTTAATTTCAAAATATCACAGCTTCCAATTGCCCATTTAAAATTAGTGAATTCGTCAGAACGACTGTTCACTAAAGTTATAACCAATAAATTTCTTTTTAATAAAACCTTTAATGATGCAATAAAATCTTTAATGATTGTGTGCTAAATACGGCAGTACGACAAACTTTTAAGTGCTTTTGATAAGTAGAAAATGAGTTGAGAGAGAGAGAGAGAGAGATTGTTTTCATCACAACTCATCTTCTACTTGTCAAAAGCACTTCAAAGTTTGTCATAGTGCGTTTTCAATACCGCAATACCTGCTTGCAAAGTCTCGTTATATTACTAATGTCTGATATATTAAGTATTGTGTAAAATAATTCTCTTTTATATGTGAGGTTAAGCGTGTAAGGGGCTATGCATTTACATATGTGGTCAATGGGTCATTCGATTACGCTCGGACATATTTATTTGTTCAGTTTCTAGCCGGATCCTTGAAAAATATTCCGGGAAACATGTAGAAAAAAATTGTTGTGTGTTTCATACCTCATACAATGATGACACCGCAAACGTAGTGAATTACTGTGCGGCCTTTCCGACATAACACGTATTGTAACTCCTTTCTCACGGGTCGCGGGTGTCGCTTGTTGCCTTAGCCGCGAGCCGCCGATTGCGTCACCGGGAGAGGCAGCTCGCATCGATATTGGTCGACGACGCAACCACAGCGACACACGACGCAACGGCCGACCCAAACCCAAACGTCCACCGGATGAAGGTACATTGCAGTCTGAAGCCTCGACCCCACGACGCCGGCTACCCTCTGATTTACACAGCGGCTCTCTTCAAGGTCACGGGAACTGCCACCCAATCGGAAGCGTCGTGATGACTGGAATTTGTGATATTGGAGCTCCCAATTGGATGGCAATATCCCCCTCGCGACGTTGAAGTGCGACTGTTTAAATCGGAATGCAACTCGTTTACCATCGGATGCGAAAGAGGGATTCCAGCGTTTGACATCCTGGCTGGCGTAGACTTGAGACAGACGTCACAGTACCACGTGATCTGACGACTTATAATATACTGCAGCCTTACGCTCTGTGCATTCCAAGGCTGAATTCCCGTCGCGCAGCCCCGCGGTTTTCTGGTGAGGGAAGCAGATACGCATTTTGGCTTGTAAATGTAAGGAGTGCCATCCAGTGTGACGTCTTTGGTAGAAGGGTATTAAGGGCCTTCAGCCCGCTTAGTTTTAATGTCATGATAAAAGACAAGTGTGTGTTACTTTTAAAAAAAATTAAAATTATTTTGTGGTTGCATGAACTGCAAAGCCATTTGCGACCATTTATACAATTTTTAGAGTACATCAAATAATTTTATAACTTTAGAAATATCAAGACATCACAAATGTGAGATGTTTCAGTTAGTAATCTGGAAACTCAATTTGAAAGTGTCGTACGCAACTCTGAAGATATGATGAATGGTTATTGGGATGTTCCATGATATACAAAGGGTACAGATTCGTACTTGAACACATGTGAGTTGATGATAAGGCTATGTCCTATGGGAAGTCTTGAGAGAAGTTTCTTGTTTGAAGTGAGGGAGTGTCATATCAAAAATACGTCTGGCTTGTTAATGGTGATTAGGAAAATTATAACACGTTGTGATCCAGTGGAGCTTAAGACGTCTTTGGAGTACTTTCTTTATGTATGGTTTTATCTTGAAGTGGAAGTTTAATAACTTGCTTAGCTTGTTACTTAATAATAAAAATAATATAAATCGCTGTTTTCACTTCACGGTCAAGCCATTTGCTTGTTCCGGCCTCTTGACAGTATCGTTCCATCGGAATTATATAATAAAATAATAATTATATTATGTTACTTGAAAATACACAACGTAAATACTTTTCGTGATATCTTTTTATATTTCTAGTATCAAACCTACAAAAATCAATGACTACGTCTCAACTTTTTAGATTTTACAAAATTGTTCATGTCTTAACCCTAACCTGCTAACAGTCTATTATACCAACTAATAATAATATATATGAATTATTTATACTGTAAACATAAATAGTATCTAATAATTACGTTTAATTTACTTTTCTTTTGAAATTGTTGACACTCGAGCACCGCGAAAGGTAATTTGTTCGAATGTTGAATTGTTCTATTTACAAATGAATGTTTACCTACTTATTTTTGTTTTCTCTGACAAACCAAAAATATCCTTCCGCGTGACGTGTGAAGGTTTGATAATCTTACCGGCACCTACGCGAATGAAATATCACCTCGTTTATTGCTTTGAATAAAGCAAGACGCTATTTCTCTCTGCATTTCCTCAAAAGCTTGCGCGATTCAAATCCAGAGTCACTGCGTCCGATTGTAACAAATTTTGCTATGGATTTATGTATTTTACGACCTACACTATAGGTCACTTACTTAGCTTCCTTCATTTATTTTACCTCTAGTTGCATTGATTGATTCTTGTTTCCGGAGCGTCAACTGCTATGATCATTAGTCCCGGAAGTGTAGTGAATGATTTTATAACGAGATATGGCGGTGTTCTTTCTTCGCTGAATGGTGAGATTCGGCGCTGATCTTCACGACGACTTGCAGGCTTTTCTTCATCCAGGTATCTCCCACCAGCGGGGCGCCGCCCCAGCCGGGACAAACTGTGATTTCGCGACTGGCCTTCCAACATGTGTGGGAGTGTAGTACATGTAAGTGTAAGTGAGGGATGGGGATAGGACAAGGAAGAGGAAGGAAATGACGCGCGCGGTTACGGTTGTTACGGTACTACTCCGGCATTTGCTTAGTGTAGATGGAGGAAACCACGGATAAGTACCGATCCGAGCAGCCGACCTCTAGAATTCTCCTCCATGAATGAAAATCTTTAGATGATAAGCTACTTTACATGGATCACAATTATCCAGCGAGAAAAAAACCTGTCGCCGTCGGGACTCGAGGACCCTAGGACCTCCCGGTCACAGGCCCTGCTTAATGGATGCCCTGAGCCACCTCAGCCGCTTCTTCCGGTTGCAGATCCCAGGCGCCATGGCTCCAGACGCGACGAGGCCGACGGGCGCCTCCGACGTCCCGTTCGCGGGCCAAGGCTTGGAGGCCGCGGACAAGGCACCGCTGCAGGCCCAGCACCCTGACCGAGGCCAGGCCCCGGCCCAGGCCACGCCGCGGCCGCCGATGCAGATCGTGTGGCGGAACGTGGTGCTGTTCGCCTACCTGCACGTGGGCGCGCTCTACGGTGTCTACCTCATGTTCGCCTCGGCGCGCCTCCTCACCAGCGTCTACGGTGAGCCGCGCGGCGCACGCTGCTTTTCGTTGATTAGTGATTTCAGGCGCGCCAACTGTTAAATGCTTGTTCGTCCAGTAAGTGTAGTGTATGTTTTACCTAGGATTTGATTCATTAGTGATTCCAGGCGCGCCAACTGATAAATGCTAGTTCGTCCAGTAAGTGGAGTGTATGGGTTACCTAGGATTTGATTCATTAGTGATTCAAGGCGCACTAACGGCTCGTTCTTCCCGTAAGTGTAGTATATGCTTTACCTCGGATTTGATTTATCGGTGATTCCAGGCGCGCCAACCTGACATGTGTGTCGTTAGTGTAGTGTATGTTTCACCTCGCATTTGTTTGATTAGTGACATCAGGTGCACCAACTGCTAAGGTCATTAGTCCCGTAAGTGTAGCGTGTGTTTTGCGCGGGTGGTGGCTGTGATCTTCCCCACTGAATGGTGAGACGCGACGGCGTCCAACCATCTGCTAGTGAGGTTTTTCCCCTTAACCAGGTATCTCCCAGCAGCAGGCCACCGCCTCAGTCGGGACTCTAAGCTCCCAACCGATCTCGTCGTCACGTGCGGTAGTGTAGTGAATGTAAGTGTATGTGTGTGTGTAAGTAAAAGGTGAGGATTGGGCACGGAAAATGGAAGAAAAACGGGCATGCGATTCGTGGCCCGTTGGTTAGGGTACTGCTCCGGCATTCGCCTGGTGTTGATCAGACGAACCAGAGAAAAAATCCGATCAGAGCAGCCGGTCGCTAGAATTCTCCTCCAGACAGCAGCTGGATTCAATTTAACGTATCTATCTGGCTAGTGTCGACAATCCTGTCACCGCTGGGACCCGAACGTAGTGCATCCAGGTCAGAGGTATTGCAGTGACATCAGTTGATGCCCTGAGCCGCCTCTCCCGGTTTGTGTTTTCGGGCGCATCAACTTCCTCGTGTGTACTGTGTGTTCTATTCGGTAGGTGGCGGTATGCCTTCCCCGGAGCGTGCGATCTGACGTCGAATTGCGAATGCTTTCCTCCTCCAGGTATCTTTTTTTTAAATTATGTTATTTTATCTCGTAACTACGTTCTCTTAACCATTTACTGGCGACGAACGTGGAGTAATCCTCCTTTGAGTTAGTAATCATCAGTTGTCTTTGTCTTTATCACTTTGTCCAGAGGTTCGTCGCCTTTAGTTCCCCACGTTACCCAGACGGCCACCCATCCAAGAAATCGCTGTGCCTCAACATTTTTAACATCCGTGATTTCACGGAGAGTTGTTATCAATTCGGCAATCGACTCCGGTTATTTCCCCCACGAGTGGCACCACCCCCGCCGAGAAAATTTTCTAAGGTTCTGAGATTGGTCTTCCGACTTATGTGGTAGTGTGTTACATGCAGTGTGTGTATGTAAGGGGACACGGGAAGGCAAAGCTGAGGAAGAGAAGATTGCAGAGGGGGCGTGGTCTGTTTGTAAAAATATTACTCCCAAATTTGCCTGGTATTGATAGGAGAATCCAATCAATACCAGGAGAAAACGAACGAGAACACTGAAGTGAACCACGCGTTTGGTCGAAGAAGGTAGTACAAACAACGTTTCTTTGATTCCAACACGTGACTAACAGTATTGCCACCAATTATTATTGGGTATTTTCACGTTTCCAGTATTGTGATCATGTAAATTTTGCATTCAGAAACGAAACGCAAAAAAAACCCAATGTTAATAAAACATCGGTGTTTATACATCGATGTTTAAACATCAATGTATCCCTACTCTCCGCGTGCACAGCGTGAAGGCAGCTGAAGTGAACCACGCAGAGATGTAGCAAAAGAAAGGTAGAAATAAGCAAAGACAGGTGACACAGAGCATCGTTCTTGAAACACTTAGGGTTGGGTACCAGATTCTAACACCCGCATGTGCTGACAGCATAATTGTTCATCCCCAGATTCACTGGATGCTGACCGGAATGCACCAGCTAAAATTCTCAGTTTTCTTTCAGTTGCTCTCTTACGAAATGTTAACCTCCATTTCAGCGAATGAGGTCAAAACTGAAACACGAGTGGATTACAACGACAGTTCATTTTTTAAAAAATCTTATTAACAATATTTTACGAACAAATCCTCTTTATTTCCAATATAGACGCGTAATGACATCTAAAACTGATCAGTTACAAAATACTATGAAATTTATTAGTGTTAATATATTTCAAGTTCTATGAAATGCTACATCAAATTTGTTTATTATACATTAAAGAAATATTCTCAAAATCACGCGAGGTGTTTGCTTTAAAAAAATGTTGTGCTCTATACCTTTTGTGCATTTTATATATTTTCCCTTACGATTATTAAATACAAATGTTTGACAAAATTGTTTAAACATCTGGAACTTCTATTTTGAATGTGTTTTAATATTAACATCAGATGAACATCTCACACAGATTTTCGTAATGTGTTCTGAGTACACCCACTGAACTCAATTTTTGCAGTGCAGTCGAGTGCTCTTGTTTCGTTGACGTCCTCGGAGGTGACGTCCGAAGTTGCCCTTTAGTGACTCCGCTGACCTCTCCGACCCTTCTCATACATTTTTTCTCTCGATCCTTTTCATTTCCGTCTTCATAAAGGACAAAGCGATATCCCCTTCAAGACGACCTTTCCTCACTGTTGTTCTTTGCGTACGCATACAGAGCATTGATTCCCGCGATATTCATGACGTCAGCTTAGGTCAGAAACTGAACAGGGAGTGGTCGCGAAGACTACTAACGTATTCCAAGCTGTCTCCGGCGCTTATCACAAGCGCAGCCGTTCCCACTTGAGTCATATAGTTAATTAGCTGGAGCATTCTACTAAAGGTACAGCAAAGTCCATGCCAAACGTTTGTCAACTCAAGGGCGTGAAAATACTGGATTACAATAGTAATCCACGCGGCCACTGAAGGCTTAACAGCGAACGTGGCGTGTTGCAGCTATCCTGCTGTACCAGCTGTCCGCCGTGGCCATCACCGCCGGCGCCCACCGCCTGTGGTGTCACCGCTCGTACAAGGCCAAGTGGCCTCTCCGCCTCTTCCTCATGGTGATCGACACGCTGGCCTTCCAGAACCACATCTACGAGTGGGTGCGCGACCACCGCGTGCACCACAAGTACAGCGAGACGGACGCCGACCCGCACAACGCCAGCCGCGGCTTCTTCTTCTCGCACGTGGGCTGGCTGCTGGTGCGCAAGCACCCGGACGTGAAGGCCAAGGGCAAGGACATCGACCTGCGCGACCTCGAGGGGGACGAGATTGTCATGTTCCAGAAAAAGTGAGTGCCGCTTCTGGGCTGACGAGGCGCGACTCGGACCGTCAGGTTCCGCTGGCCACGTTGCTCTTCCGCCTGACCACGCACATTTCGATACGCTCCTTTCACCATCTAGCGGAGAAATAAGGTATCACTCGGGTGACTAAACAGGCGATTTTGAATTAGCTCAGAGCATTCTTTTGGGATTGAGGATCTTTCACATGCAGTAAATCTACAACAGGGGACAGCCGGCTTTACTTCCTCTCCGAAGTTATTATTTTTTATGGTCCTTTAAAATCTACTGCTTCGGTCGGGTTTAAAATCCACGACTTCGATTGGGTTTTAGACCTTCAAGCTTGAATTCAGCAACCCGGTTCGCAAACCGTTATATCACCGAACCCACTGCGTTGGGGCTCCACAGCTCTAACACGCAACACTCACCGTGATCGGCACTCGACCTGAAATGAAATTTTACGAGCTTGTTCATCACCTCACAAATATACATTTTTAAGTTCTATGAAATATTGCAAGAACTGGTTTTGCTACAATTAGTATAATGACCAGCTGCCTGTCGAAACGCGGAAAACGCCGCGCGCCTCTGGTCCTGCGGCCGATACTCGTATGTTGCGCCGCCGCTGTCTGCGTGGTTGTCTTCAGGGTGTCCGTTGCCTCGTAAGGCATGCAGGGCGACAAAAATCGGATGTTTTCGTGGTAGGTTCACGAAGACGAGAATGTTGACTGATCCAAACGAATGATCCAAACAGAATTGTAGCAAAGCTGGCTCCTTGAAAGTGTTATCTCGATATAGGATAACTAGCTAACGTAATTCATACATACATTACAATTTTGCATTTTAGAATCAAAATTTTCACAATAAAGGGATCTAATGAAAATAGTGTCAAAACAGAGTGAAACAAAATATCAAGTGCGCACCGTATTTTCGTTGTTCGTACGACTGACTTCGGTGGAATGATTAAAAACGCTTGTCACTGCACACTTCGAATTAAAAAGAGACCAGCGGATATTGCCGTTGCCATCAGTCGTAGAGGAACGAACGCGGTACGAAATCTGACACCAGTCGATTCGTAGACGTCGCGTTACGTTTCTGCCCCTGCCGATGCGACGATCTGTCCAGGCGCGAAGGTCACGGAAGGCCTTGAGGCAAAACGCCTCTAAAGCAAGTAATTCTAACACTCCATAACACTTCAAAATTTGAATACGTGGATTTTGCATAGTATTTTACGAGATGGCGAAATTTCATGTGAATCCGAGTATCCGCCATGGTGAGTGTTGGGTGTATGATTGATTAATTGATTCCGGGCGCGTCAACTGCTAAGGTCATTAGCTATGTGTAGTGCATGATTTTTATCGCGAGAGGTGGCAGTGTTCTTTCCTCGCTGGATGGTGAATCCCGACGCCGATTTACACGTCGCCCTTGCGGGATTTTCCCGAACCAGGTAACTCCCACTAGCGGGGCACCGCCCCAGTCCGGACAAACTAATCTCACGGCATATGTGGTGTGGTAGTGTAGTGATTGTAAGTGAAAATGTGTCTCTAAGTAAAGGGTGAAGATAGGACAAAGAGGAAGGAAATATCGCGCGACGATTACAATTACTCGTACGATAATTTGCCACCAGTTGGAGCTCATAGTCAGTTCAGTAGCAATATTCAATTTTGAGGTGTGCTCGTTCAAATAAGAGTGAACCATTCCAGAAGAAAAAAAATCTCACTTTTGTCTTCATAATATTAGTAACATATAATACCTTTACTGTTTGGGATCAAAGCATAGAATCTCATTTAACGTTTTTTGTAATTTCGTTTTACAAGAATCATCGTGTCTTGTGTGTCACCGGGACATGGTGTGGATGATAGCAGGGCCGTGCGCAATACTGTTTTTTCGTAATGTGAACTCCAGTTGTGTCAATTCACAAATCTGCTTCGTATCTGAGAAAAGTGTAGTTTTCCTTCGTTAATACACAAAATGGTTTGCAGTACTTTGGCTCACTTTAACCACAACATTCTACTCGTTGTAGATGACAATTGGTCAAGTTACTGATGCTGTGCAGTAAGAAACCTTTGCTTAGCAAAACGACAGCGAACATTTGTTCATCCAGTTGACGGGAAGGTGATGTGTATATGTGTGAGTGTTTTGCATGAAATAACTTATTTCTTTTTGTCCTTCGATTTTTGAGAGACACTTAATTATAAAACTATTTATTTTCATAATTTAACGTGTGTAAATTTTGAACGACAGACATTAATTAATGTCAATAAAATAACTCCCCTCTGAATTTGGGAACTATTATATTTTTAATTGTCACTCATTTTATTTGCAGATATTATCTTATCTTGATGCCCCTAATATGCTTCATTATTCCAACAATTATTCCTGTGTACATGTGGAATGAGACATGGACAAATTCTTGGTTTGTTGCTACGCTCTTTCGCTATACCTTATCTCTCAACGTGACTTGGCTTGTGAACAGCGCTGCTCATATATGGGGCAGAAAACCTTATGACAAGTAAGACAACGTTCAAAATATTTATTTTCATGCATGCGTTAATGACAAACCTTTTTTTGTCAGAATTCTTATAATTATAACTCAAATGTATTATAACTCATTAAGTGTTCCACTCGTGATTGTAGCCATCTCTGTACCATTTATATGTGACAACATACATTTATAATTGTAACTTTACTAATTATATACTTTACATTTAACTGATAAGCAAAAAAGTATTTTCGTGTTCTAGAAAGCTGTTTTCATTATCTGCGAGAACGCAATAACTTGAACCACACAAAGTTTAAGATATCTGTCCGTTTATGGTCGGGTCAAAATTACTTCACATTGTCTTAGGAATAAGCTAGAAATTTATGTTATCCCTTCTAATTAATAAGTAATTTTTATTCAGATAAAATTGTACATGTGGTGGGTTGTCTACCAGTAGGCATTATTTTCTCTTTGGATCCGTTTACATGTGTGATCGATCTTAAAGCCTGTGATCGCACACGACACAACCCTTCAAACTTTTAGAATTACATTAGAATACCTTTAATTTTTAATATCAAAACAGAAAAGGCAGATAATTTTTACACCCAATACATAAAATAAGTAATACATATCATTGGTATAACAGTTTAAAATAACATTATAAAGGTAGATAAATACAAATATATTAAAATATTCTATTAATAATGAAAACCTTAAAAGACGAAGGAAACATGCATCTAGTTCTCAAAGTGCGAGTTCAAATTAATAATTCATAAAATATTACACTTACTATGGCATACGTAACGAAATATCCATTAAAAATTGGTATTTGCTGAACATCAAAATTCCTTATTCTAATGAAAAAGCATCCGCAAAACCTCAAATATTTTCTGTAGAATTCGGAAATTAATTGAAATCACATATCTTAAAGATCTTAGAAGACTTTTATAGCAAGCCTGTAGACAATATGAGGAAGTATTGTGTAGTGATGTAACCTCAATTATTTTAACATTTCATATGATATGTAATTACACATTCAACGAGCTAACATGACGCTCTTGTAGAAACATGCGCACTGGGATAGAGAGGAAATGAAGGCGTGAGATATGCAAAATGCAAAATGCTATATGCTATATGAATGGAAACTTACCTAGGTTAGGCAATAAAGACTGCGCCACTCTTGGTGATGTAAATACTGAATTGAAATTAATTTTAAGACATTGAAAATGGAGTGTTTGACAAAGGAACTAATATAGAATAACAATTCTCAACCCTTCATTATTAAACAAGATGAAAAACGATTATCAAAAAAGAATGTGAATGAATGAGTCAGTAATGTTGGAGGAAAGGACCAAGATAGAAAGAAAAAAGAAATATAATATCCATAGTGAAGAAGGTACCTGAAATCTAGGTCTGCAAGTGAAAGTTGAAGAATTGATAAGAACGCACAAGGAAGTGGTCTTCCCTGCTGTGCGCCACCAATTTCTTTTACTTTCTCGTGCAGACAGTGACGGCTGGTGCCCCAACAGACAGACGAATGACGGAAATGTACTTTCCAAAATTCAAAATTCGAATATATAATAAAAATGTAAGCAATTCAAATTAATTAAAAGTAAGTGAAATGAAAGTGTATGTATATATATATATATATATATATATATATATATATATTGTTATATAACAATTGTTGTCGTGTTTGGTCAGGTATGTACACCTCCCACGCACGTGGTCTCTTTGATTTTCACTGGGCACTTAAGTTCGACTCCAGAACATTTCACGACACGTTTCACAAAAATTAAATTATTTTATTTCGAAAATTTCACTAATCTGGTATATTTTGTAATAAAGATCCTACCACACACACACACACACACACGCACTCGTATTCCTATCAGTGCTCTCAATGCAGGCTTCTGCAAGCGAAAATATTATTTACCGAGAAAGGGACTTCCTTCCAGAACGGCCAACTTTACACAAAGAATTCACCAAGGGTATATTTTAAATAAATAAATCTTAAATCTAATGAAAACAAGTTCTCTAAACATCATAAACAATGCATTAAATGCCGTCAATAATTTACTGAACTTGTGTTCTTTCAATAACAAGCTAGATTCATAAAATTACATCGCAGGAGTCGGACGAAGTCAGAATAGTGGGATTCCCCGGACACTCCCTCGGTCGCCGCGCAGAGCTAGACAGCGCCACCCGGCTGGTTGCCCAACCAAAAAGGTCTATGTTGGTCGTGTTAAATCGAGGAACCAAAGAGTAAATGCAGAAAATCCAGTAATACAGCCAAGAGCATGGTGCAATATCCGTCAAGGCACCAGCCATCAGAGAAAGTGGCAGTTGACGGCTCTTTGCTTTCAAAATGATTTCATATGCTACCTCGGCGGTAGGATTTCCTACAAGAAAGCAAAGAATCAATATTCGAGAGAAGATGGTGAAAACGTTTAATACTCGAACATGTGTGCGGTGAGGAGAAAGGTAGATAAATTGCCATTTTAAATGCGTAAGAAACTTAAAAGCGGAACATATGGACAGGGAGAGGGGGGACTGGAAAGTTTAAATAGTTCAAAAAGGAAAACTGCAGTTGAGGAAACAGTAGGCTATCGTGTATCGTCAAAGAAATATAGGAAATTATGTGCCCAGATTGCCACAAGAGTAGAAACACTATGCATGTCAATTAAGCGAATTAAAGAGTGTATCTTAATAGATAGCAAAGTTATCTGGAAACAAAATAATTAACCGGACCTGAGTACACTAATGAATAAGAACAATTAAGCTTTAACACTTTTTTACTGCATTAGGAATTCAGAAGTAGAAGTAATCAAGTCACAGTCAGAGCCCCTTAATTATTATTCTGTTATTGAATATTCGTATTACGAATTCAACAAGACATGACACGTGTTTTTGTTCTGTGTTATTTATTCAACTGTACGACCAGCATGAGATAATGAAATGCACAAAAGAAGTTACTAGTTCCACATTCGTCATTTTGAAAGAAATAATAAATTAATTTCATAACCACGTTAATAGAAGCAAAAATCATTTGCATCTATAATTTCACGATTTCAATTGTAAACTGCCTACTTACTGTTTGATTGTGGCCTTCTCTATACCATGGATTGTGGTGTAAATAGCTGCTTACAATTCTGCAACACATGTACGAATTAAGTGTTCCACTATTTAATTTTTCATGTACCTCCACTGAAGCAGAGTTGTGTCGTAGACTATAATTTTACGTCTGCGCGTTTTCTACAGGTAATCTACACGACTCCTTTTCGCATGTTGATTACGTAGATAATGCAATCTACATCGGCTATTTAATATTTCACGTAAAATAACCCCAAAAAACTTAAAATAAATATTAATTACATGTTTAAATGTAATATTTAAAATTTTATTTTAGATTAAGTAAGTCAAGCAAATATACCACTCCTGACAAAAAAGATGGCCACCTCTGTAACCGCCACAGGCGCTATAGTGATTCCGAATATAGTCAAAATCGACTTTATATTGGAATTTTTAACTGTAAATTATAATTAAAATAAAATTAATTGTTTTTTATATAATTTTGATCCATTGCTATTCACCGATAATATTTCTTCTGGTGGTGGAATATCTGCATATTACATTTATTTCAAGAAGAAATTACGCGACAACTAGATTTTTCAAAATATTGTACTTGTTTTTTAATGAGGTTTCAGAACAGATTTTGTTTAGGTCAAAAATCTATATCGTCAGTATTGTAATTTTTAAATGTTAAAATTTGCAATTTTAAAAAATACAGTTCGCCGGAAATGGGAATAGTACCACTTTGAAACATACCAAGAGAAATTATGAAAACAATTTCCGCCTTTTTTGGGGAAAAAAAGCTTTGCCTATATTACAGCCAAAATTACGCGAAAAAACTCAGATTTTCAAAAAATTGTGCATGAGCTTATTTCAAAACCTTTAAAGAATAGAAATCCTTAAGAACAAATCTTTTCAATATTTTAGTTGAAGGAAGTCACCGAAAATAATTGAACTTTTGTAAATTTTTAATTACAAAAATGTAGATAGCAACATATATAACTTATATACATAATTTTCATTAAACGCAGTAGAACAAAACGCATATAATAAAATATTTTAAAACATTTTAATAAAAAAATATTCAGCGAGACAACCAATAGCATTGTTACAAGGTACCGTAACATTAAGCCCAGGTCATGAAGTTCTTGTGCACGAATGAAGTTACAGGAAGTAAATCGGATTCAAGAGAAAACAATCTTATCAGAAGACTATCGAAAATTGGAATCAATCTAAGAATGAAACATTCATATTAATTGGTATTGTACCATTGGCTAATTCACTTTTCTATTGAAAGATAAATACACGAAGAAATCTGACATTGACCCACTACTCCACAAAAACCTGGACTATATGCATTTAAATATCGGGCATAAATAAAGTGGAAAAAATTATGCAAATTATACAATTATGCAAAATAAAAATAGCATACTTTAATTTTTGGTGATAGATAAAATTATATATAATGTCTTTAAAAATGGCAAATCAGTAAAAATATGCAACTGCATGAAGTTCCGCTGTCTACTTGTAACGCCCATAACGCCCATTGTGCATAAATAACTATGGGGTTGCGAAAGTTACGTTCACACACTTAGAAATAATGCAAGAGGAATATACGCTTGGTTCATGGTCGGAGGGTAGATGCAAGGATGATGTAGGTATTGAAAGACTCGAATGGCAATGGCATCTGTGGGCTGTGCGGCGATATGGAAGATTGGATTCACATCCTTTTAAATTGCAGTACGTCCGAACCACGGAGAGAAAAATGAGTGGGAATAGGAAACCCCTTTCATCGTAGGAACGAAATGATCACCAAGAAAATATTTGGTAATTTGAAAATATTTTCTCACTTGATGAAAGAATTGGGAACATTTCTAGGAAAGGTTCAGTCCATTAGGGAAACGGAAATTAAGGAGTGGGAAAACAACACTGGTTAGTATGAGCGGTGTCTAGACTGAAGAGGAAATAAATAAGTTAATGATCAAACAATGCATAATTTGTAATATAAATAGATTTCTATCTGTAAATGATTAGTGTAATGAATAATTTAATCAGTAATTTAAGTTAGTAAACTCTAAAGTCATACGTCATAGTCAACTATTAAGTAATAAGTAAATCAATAAAAAATGATAAATAAAAAAATGAAACTGTCAAACAATTAAATAAGCACATTAGGGAGGCACAGGGGAGTGGGTGTCCAAAAAGTAATTTCAGAGGCGACGGTGCAAACGATCTGCAATGCTGATTGGTTTCAGTCACTGAGGAGGCCAAAGACAGGAAGGAGAATGCGGGACGCCAGGAAATAACTGTTTAAAAAAGACTGGTATATTAGCAGGTACGCGGCTTCTGACGGCAGGTTTTCCCCCTTCAGGTTTTTTTCCCTCACCAGTACCTTATGATCTCTTTTCCGTGGCTTTGATGCGATGAAGAGACCATTTTGGGGTGAATACCAGAATTCTAAAGGTTAGAACGAGGAAGGATGTAGGTATTGTAATGGCTTAAAGGCCTTCGGCGTAGCCACATAGTATCAAATTATTTAATTTACGAGTAATAGTTACCTATTAAATTAATAAAATAAATAACTATTGATTCTAATTTTCAGATCCATCAACCCCGCCGAGAATCTTGGCGTGTCTATTGGGGCCTTGGGAGAGGGCTGGCACAATTATCACCACGTGTTCCCTTGGGATTACAAAGCCGCTGAGCTGGGCAACTACCGCGCCAATTTCACGACTGCGTTCATCGACTTCTTTGCTCTCATTGGCTGGGCGTACGATTTGAAGACGGTCCCGGTCTCTACGATTCAGCGGCGAGTTGAACGCACTGGAGATGGTAGCCATGATGTTTGGGGCTGGGGCGATAAAGATATGCCGCAAGAACATATTGACGAAGCTGTGATTAAGAACAGAAAGACACTGACTCATTATTAGTGCTGCAAAATGAATGAGATTGAGCTATGATGTGGACATACTACACTAGACTGAGAGTATTAAATAATCCCGATATTAAGGAGAAAGGAAATTTGCACAATCAAAATGTTCTCAGAAGAGAATCTATAATTATGGATTCATGAAAAGCTATAAGCATTTACAAGCCTGATCCTAACGAACTCAATACATTTGGTTTGTAAACTGGGGACTTTGATTAACATTATAATGGTGACATTCAATGATGAAATGATTGAATGCAAATATGAGAGAAAGGCAAATTTTCAAGTTCCTTACAGATGACTGACAAGTATCGTACTGTGAAGATTCATGCTGTAGTTTTTTCTTTCAAGGAAGATCATTGTCTAAAAGTAGTTTTGTGGTACATTGCGTATCGTTTCAAAAAGAAACTAATTTACTCCATTTACAGGCTGGTCGTTACTTTTCAGAGACGTATATTTTTATTAGACTACCCAAACAATTGAAAATAATGAAAATGGTTTTCATGACTTATTTTTGTGCTTATTGATAATTTTCATATATACACTACCTGGTCTCTTCAGGTATTGCTGCTGTTTTAGGTTAGTTGCCAATATTCGTTTAGCGTAAATAGTCTCTGGCTTTTGCAGCCTTCTACTCATCCGCATTATTTGTCTGTGAAACCCAGATGCTTAGAAAGAAATCGTTTTCTGAGGATGACCTTGAGGAGTCATTGAATTTGTTCGAGATATGTGATGGATCGATTAATTGAAAATGATTGTTAATAAATTTATTGGAACTATTAAATAGATTAACTAAATAATATTATTTAATGTAATCAAATTGTTCGATTACAATTAGACCTAAGCGAAAAATTATATAAATCAATTTTAATTTTTTTTATTCAATGACCTGTATAAATTGTTTAATTTTCTAAAAACGTAATTTTAAGGATGTTAACTTATGTTCAATAATATACTTAAAACCATTGAAGTTATCTCTTGTACGAGAAACAAGAGACAGAAGAGAGAACACGCTACTTTGCAGTGTTGTAGGATATTTTTTTCGTACAGTGTTCATAATGCATGACTGTCCAGCATGTTATATGACCGTTTTGTTTCAAGAAATCGTTCATAAAATGGCATTTTATGGTACAGATTGTGACGAATTAGCCGTTTATGGTCCGAATAATTGTGTCAGCACGCATTCACCCAATCGCAGCAAGCTAATCGAGGGGTGGTAAACCATACAGTGGACTACCGTTTTCGCACAGATGCCAAATACTCGTGGCGTTATAATAAAGGTTATATAAGAACGGTGAACGCCCACACCGTGTGACCGATCTCCATGAAAGTTGGCATATCTATGTGTTTATTCAGCCTGATGAATTATGTGCTGTTAATTGTGTTGTAACTCCACTATATGGCGCTGCAGAACAAATTTGCGCTTCGTTTTAATTCTACTTCCATTCAAACTGCCCTCCATCTGGTCTTCATTGTTTCTGAGTGTTGCCTTGTGATGCAGGGTGAGACACAGAGAGACGGAGAAAGGGAGGGACAGAGAGGCGGAGAAAGAGGGAGATGAAGGGCAGAACAACGTCTGCCGCGAGTTTCGCTACTTTCCTTCTAAATTTATAATGCTGTTATACAAAAAAGGATACATGCAATTTGTTTATAATGACACTTAATTGCAATCGAACATATTTCAAAACTAGCCCCTAATGTCGCTCGACTTCAAAACATATGCTTATTAATAAAGCTAGCACTACAGTCTAGTTGCATAATATACTATTTCAGAGACAGAGTGAAACAGAGAGAGACACAGAGGGAGCCTGAGAGACAGAGCGAAAGACAGAGACAGTGGCAGGTAGACAATATACGCAAGAAAAGTAACGGTAGTGTAACTCACACTAAGACCTTGTAAAGTAAAATAGTTTTTTCGGGTAGCATTTTGTAATAATTAAGACCAGCTATTAATGCTTATATTTGGATTGTAAAAAATTTAAATGACATTACAATTCATATAAAATGTATTATTTTTTTCTTGACTGAGGATCTTCTTATACGTTTGTATTTAACATTGGTAAGAAATACTTTAGCTATCTTATATGTCTTGTTTGAGCATTTCAAGAAATATACGATAGACCTACTGATTTTACTAGATATATTTGTACCTTGTATTTCTATGTTGTATAATAATTACCAATAGAGCAATGTATTTATGAATATCTATTGTATTCTTTTTCAGAGAGAGCTTAAAATATGTTTCTTTTATAACTCCCTCTTTTTTCACTTAAAATTGTGACAAAATTATAGTACATATGCTTTCCTATCCTACTCGAGAAGAGCTCGTTACAATCAACTGGTTGCTTATCAACCCAATCAAACGCAAATAAAATCCCAGAACATTTAAAACATCATATTTTCTTGAAACACTTAATGTTGGAAATCAGTTTCTAACGCCATTGTGTGCTGAAGTCTTAATGTTGGGGTCATTTCAGAATATCTCTTCAAGAACGGCGAAGGCAGTCTTTGCCTATATCGTCTATCAAAGATTTTAGCTGTCCCACCCAGCAAAGCGTTTAGACGCATTAACACAAAATAACTGGCACTTCTGAATCAGTCGTTAAGTAGAACAGCCGGGTTTCAAGGGTGCTCCGTCAACTTAAATCTGTTCTTTTGAGTATGCTAAAGAGAATAGCCGACCGCTAGAATTCTACTGCAAATTGAATTGAATTGATGTCTTATTTGACGTATCGAGACTCGGGGCCCGCTCTTCCGTCCGACCATGCAAATTTCACGTCACCTACGCTTCTTCCACCGACTAGCGGAGAAAGGAGGTATTTTAGTAGCTATTGCAATAACTACGCCCTGATGGAGGTCGCAGAATGGCGACCGAAACGTTGGCACCTGTGGCTTGGGCGCGGCGTCTCTCGGATACCCAAGTAAATATAAATCATTACACCATCAGTCGTTATTAAGGCGCAGATAGCGGCTGAATTCGACCTAGCTACGTAACTAGAGCCCAAACTCCTGCCAGGACCTCCTATATGTAGCCATACAGCCGCTTACGATATACTTCCCATGTTTAACTCCGTTACAAGTATATCTTAACGTCAAGAATTAGTTGTAAATGACCAATAGTTGTAAGATTTCATTATTCCTAATGTAATTAACTTGGTAAAGTTGAAGTTATCCGTTGCAAATTTTCGATTTGTTGAAAACTTGAGAAATGCTGCGTATGCGCAAGTTACGTTATCCGTCTGTAGGGCAAGCACAAGCCTTTTGTTATTCAGTTGTAGGCAACAGCAGTTTTGATAAGTCCGTACTGCTTTCAGTCGGAATACATGGCCGAAAAAGACACTGGTGTGAGATGCAGGCGGTGTCTAGAGATTTTTCTTTTTGAGGAAATTCCATTAATATAATCATAATATATAATGCACATTCATAGGTTATTATTGCCATGGCGCTTTGGTTGTTGTTGCAAATTTCAATTTTACAGTTAATAAATGGATATTGTTTTTAGCGCGAATACTGCCTCTCTTTCCGTAAACCAGTCTTTACACACGTATTAGAACGATTCTTTCAAGCTTTTCAACTATATTTTTGATTTAGCAAATATATCCACATATGCCAAACTGTACCTTTCATCCATCGTCTGCCACGTACATCTGAACGCTCACTACAGAATGTACCGTTTTAAGCATACTTGAACCATCTGTCTCACTTGGAAATAAGCGAGATAGATATAATTAGTAGCGACTCATACGCGGATTTTAGGTAAAACCGTTATGCGTACCGACTGTTGTAGCCCCAAGTTTGCGCGAGGTTTAATTTCATTCAAAAACCTAGTTCGAACGATGTTATGATTCAACAACAATACTCGCGAAGAAAAAAAGCCTTCGGAGGGAAGCGGTAAACAGTCGGTCCATTAGTAATTTACTTGCAGTCAAAGCATATCTCAAGCCTAACAATTTTGACTTGCGGCCTCTGAGCTAAATTTCAAATCGCCAGGTCTTCTCGCCAAATAAATACCTCCTTCCTAGCTGTCTTGAAAGGAACTCCCCCGGTAGCCCCCTCGCCATCCCACTAACCCCCGGTGCGCAGACGACGCCGCGAACCTTAACCGAGCCTGATGGATGGACCGAGTGCTCGCAACCCCGGAGGCCCCTGCGGCGCGCCGAAAAAAAGGCCATTGATTCAATGAATTCAACATATAATTGGTAAAGTTTTAAGTATATCCGTAACACAGTCTACATATATGCTCATGGCTACCATAACAGCGCACGACGAATAGCCCGAATAGCACATCACACAACAGCAGAGCAGCTGAGATAATTCAACCGCTTCTCTATTCGATTAGCTGGAAGTAATATTTGAAGAATTGTTATCTCATAAAATGAATATGATAGCGCTATCGTCATCGGTTTTGTTATTACTTTGCATTATGTTAATACGAATAAAAACAATGAATCTCGTTTCCCATCTCTTTCAATATTCTTTACCCATAGCGCCTTTTACCCCAGACATCCCCAATTTATAGCAAGCTCATTGCGAAGAATCATACCAGCGAAATTTTCAATAGGAAATCTTATTTGACGTTTTTCTGCAGCTTTATGACTTGATAAAAAAAAAATGCCATACCGTCTGAATTAACCTCATATGCTGTTTTAATTTGTTTTTCTTATTCAACCATTTAACTTTTAACCATTTAAGTTGCTTCCAATCCCGATAAATCATCGTTAATTTAATAACTGTGGCAAAATTAGCTTAATATTAAAAAAACGTCAGACGTAAATCGATTTCAATTGACTTGTTCAACACCTTTTGTTTTTTGGCTGTTGTGCTCCAACATTTTTAGTATATCCCTCGTGCGTGGAAACAATCAAACTTTTGTTCCTCCTAACTTCGATAGCAAAAATACACACTTATCACGATTCCATTCAGAATGTCCGCGATACCATTATATTTTTTAATCTATCACATCAAAAGCGTAACTAAAGTTGTGCACGTAAAAATTGCATTGCATTTTATCCATGCCGTTACGATTTTCTTCTCAGCAGTGTCGGCCATATAAAAAAGCACCTTTGTTTACTGCTTCGCCATGGAAATACTGTAATAACTTATTTCTTAAGACACGTCTGTCTCCTATTTTTGATGTACGTTACCGATCCAACGGCTATGCCATAAAAAATTCAACAGCCTCCGAAGTGACTCCAAATATATGCTGATAAATTGAAAGTCTCCTGTTTTTGTGCTTATTTCGCAAGTAGAATTTGTCTATATTAATGCACGAATTACATACATATATCATATCCATTGTTTGAAACACGCAAACAGACGTTGCGAATTTAGCCTCTACTAGTTTTCCTTATGATCTCTTAGCTTCCTTTTGTTCTGCCAGATGCAGATTCATTTTCTCTCTGCAAGAGCCTTCCTTTTCTTTCTTCATGACTTTTCTTCTGACTTTTGTTTGTTAAAAAAGAACGCTACATAAGATTGGGTCTTTTTTTAAAAACTTTATTCGGCCCCTTACGAAAGAGTACTTGGTCGTAACAGTAAGAAAACAACCATTGCAAATTATACTGATAAATAAATTAAAGATGTGATCTGTATCAAATACTTTTATTCAGCTAATGAATCGGTTTCGATCGTCATAAGCGATCCATCCTCAGCTTGTTTCATATTCTGGAGTACCGAAAACAAACGTTCAACTTCCCTACATCTATAAGTATTAAAAATTATTCTCTTAAGTCAACTCACTTACTTAAAGAGGATCCGTTAAATAAGTTCACGTTCAATTTGCCCACCAAATTTGCAGTCTAGCACCCCTACGTTTTCATATATTTTAAAAAAAAAAATCTTCTTTTAAAACCACACATTTTTTTTTTTCACGATATCGAGAACGCAAGGCATGACTTAAAAAAGATATGAACGTACGCCGTCTCATTTTCGTGGAATGTATAGGAATTTACAAAAGTTGCACTATTTATAAATAATGCGATAAAACATGGGCTCGTTCCTGTTGCAGCACCTATCTTGGCTACCGAAATCCAAGCCTATTCGCTCCGTTAAATGTTGAAAGATACAAAAAATTCGCTCTATATAAAAATGTTAAGTCGGTTTGGCATCGCCTTCAAAATCTACTCAAAAATTCTTCATCCGATTGAGCTCCAAATTTGAAACGTATTTATAAACGAACCCGAATTTTTAAGGATCGTCTATCCGGCGCAGCAAATTCTCGAAATTCCATCCCACGGAATATATAAATACCATCCTGTTCCTTATTTATTAAGACCCGTTACCCTGTAGTTGTTGTATTCCATCCATAATTAAAAAATCTCCCTACTCCCTACCCCTTCCCGCATCTTTCACCGCCACTCTTATACGCCTAAACACCCTACTCTCTCCCATCCAATCACAATCACTTGTATTTAATTTAGATTTAGTTAGAAAAAACAAGTAAAAACTGTATTAATGTATGCTCGGGGCCCCACGACGAAATATTATCTGCCTCACGTTTTCTGATAATTTCCAAATCCCTGCCCTCTTTTAACTATTAAATATTATGTAAAGTATATAGCGCGTAAAATATTTAAATCATATAATAAAACTTAAATGTAAATATTGCCAAATGATTAACAATATTTGAAAAAAAATAAGACATTTTAGTTTATTCCGAGTTTTAATAAAACTTATATGCGCATCGGTAAACGAATATGAAGTATGATTTCTCTGCATTAGCTAACAAAAAGTAAAACTTCGCTCCTTACCTCTTACTATTACCCATCTACTCGGCAAAAGGATAGTACAACAAAACATTCTAACAATGAATGCCATACATATTTACGGTCAGAACCAAAACAAGGGGAAACCCATACCTCAGCATATTACTCAATGCATATCATGAAACTGACAAAAACCTATCTCACAGTGATGGGCGTATTCGAAGGTAATCATACTGAAGTACATATAAGTTTGTTTTCAAACACCATTAAGTATCTAAAAAAAAATCAATACAAATGATAAAATTGGTGGGACCCTTGTAGGGCCCGCTAATGCATAATACACTATCATCACTTTTTTCTTAAAATAATATTATTTTTCTTTGAGTATTTAGTGTATATCGCTAATAGCCCAGAGAATAAGATTCTACTTATTAACTATTAAATTTGTGAAATCCGTCTTCAATTGTTTAATGTTGTATATACGCCTCTCCACCAGAGCAGAAATGATTCCCGGTCTCTGAAAAATTACATTCAATAGTTGAAGATTCCAATAATTACTCAACTTAATTTCGAAACGATTTTCTGCTTGTGAGAGACTTATGCTTCTCATAAATAAATATTAATAATAATATAATAATAAATAAGAATAAATAATAATAAAATAATAATGTCTTTAATTAATGCAGAGGCCTCAGGCATAGGCCCCTGCACACCTGAATTTCACATACGTTTAGATTGTAACATTTTAAGAGGCCGAGGACAAGCGTTCCATTACGTCTGGGCGTCGAGAACAAATCTACAGCGGACCATCCCGGCCCACTACGCCCTTAATGCCGATTGACGCCATCACATGGGCAGGTAAACCCCAGAAAAAAACCCTAATCGGATGCGGCCTCTCAGGACCCCCCGGCCCGAACATGATAGAAACTGAGTTATTAATACTGGCATCTATTTTGAAAGGGAAGTTTCGGTTAAAGAGTGAAGAAAAGGAAAAGACCTAACATACACCTTTGTACAGACGTAAGGCGTCAAAAAGTTAAATGATAAAATTTGCTGACGAAGCGAGAGAAAAAAGCGAGAAAAAGACGAAGAAGAAGTTAGGCGCGAAAAATTATTTGAGGAAGCTTTACAGAAAGCGTACGTTTAGTTTACCAGCTAGCATACAATAAATATATACAATAATTTTTTCACCAGAGAAGCACTAATACACTATAAGCTAATAATAAGTACATTTTAAACACCAATACTGCAGTATTAAGGCAACTATACAAGAAATGTGCTGATATCTTAACATCAATTTTGATTATTCCAATTATACTTTAGTGAATATACCTATGCATGCGGGGGTGGGATACATAAGATAGCCAACAAGATAATTTATCTAGAACGTCACTAATACTTTGTATATTTTAATAACAATTTCATTAGGGTACACAGAAAAGAATGCATGCTCATATATTTAGGGTGCAAGAGGGCAATGAAGATGACAGAAGAGCAATGAGGATGCGGTAGAATATGAGATAAAGCAGGATAAAGAGGGTGTTTAACGGCCGTGACCGCCGCCTGGAATGATGCGAAGAAGTCTGGAGATTGAAGAATGACGTTAACGCCCGTTCTATAGCCGCGTATTAATACCCAGTAGTTAAATCAGCTTGGAAGTATGTCCGAAAGATATAAATGTTTTCAGATTCGCTGCTAATTATATTCCATATGGTGCACTTTATCCCTATTATCTAGTTATTACTTATAATCAGCAAACGTTGCCTGATGTCGTTTACTGCACTGCATAACAGAATTCTAATTTTTGCTTTTAATTATATTTTATATTAATTAATTGTTCAATATGTTTATAGGAATATTCATTCCTACATATTTTATCCCATCTCAACAACAGCTATATGCTAATACCAACAATAATGTTAATCTTTTGCTATCATATTATGAAACAAGTATGTTAACTAACTGTTAACTAACTTATGCAATATATAACGTAACATTTTGTTTCTGAATATAATATAATTGAATTTATATAACTGCTTTCTATTTCTTGTTGCAATAGCTAACACATGAAACCAACCTGCATGATAAACATATCATCCATTCGAAGCGTTGCCAATGAAGCTTATAAAACACTGTATCCAATATGAAAAAAAAAATCTTCATATTTCAATAAAATGTTTACGTCTAGCAAAATAAACTTTTATAACTTTGATCATATTTAATTTATTACTTTAAAATTTTGTCTACAAATTAAATTATCATTTGGTGAGGACATTTTCGACTAAGTTGGGAAATCCCCAGAAACACTTGAATCAATTAGTACAACGAAGGAACAACATTGATTATTTCTTAACAAAATGGAATGGATTCTTTCACGCGATACAAACAGTCGGCTTTAAACATATCTGTACAATAATAAAGAACTCTCATGTTTTACACTTCTAATGCTTTAGCAAACAGGATAATGACGAGAATGAGATGGAATAGACTTTTCCATTTTCCTGCGAAATTCGTAAGAAAAGTCACATTAAAATTGTTATAAATATTGGCAATAATGCTAACAACGTATTGTTCCACTTCGCGGCTTGTATTTTGATGTTAAAAGTTATTTGTGCGTTGCAAGTTTTTAATAAAACAACATAGTACTACTACAGAACTGCGCACCAACTCTCTCCTATTTAATTCTCGCTAATCTAGTTTAGTCTTGACTATCTTCCGTTGCCTCACCACTCTTCCTCAATTGACGTCTATTGACACCTAAGACATTTTTCACATATTTTGTTTTCGCATCCATAATGTAGTATTAAAATACTACACATGAAAATAGCATTATAGAAGCCTTGGTCTCTAGTTCACATATAAAGTTGGAGTTGCAAAAATTTAATCAATTTTTAAGAAAAATGCTCATATTGAGGCTGTGCTCTGAAATGCCGCAAATTTGTGCTCATATTCATAGAAAACTTGCGTGTTTTGATAAACTGTTAGAAGTCATATGATGCCACTTCTACTCATTAAAGCAATAGTATATATAAATAGCCTCAATATAAATATTAACACAGAAAACTAAATTTTAACCATATGCAATTTTGAGAAAAAAAAACAAAGAAGCTAGCAAAATGACACATAACGTATACAGTGAATATAGCACCTACTTCGAAATAAAAATTTGGAACAGTTTTGTGAGAAACGTCTTGCGCTAAATATCATTATAATATTAGCCTTATTCAAGCTGCCCTCGAAAAACTAAACCTAAAAGTCTTCAACAACTCGTTTGCCATGACATTTTGATCAGTTTGGTTTATATCTCCATTTATAACAGCAAAACATGTTACGTTCATCTCTCATTCTTTGTAATCCACACAATATCTACTAGAGAGACAAGGTAAAATCCTGCTTCACTTGATGAGCTAGCAAGTTAGCTATACCATTTAAACTTCGGTAATATGAATTTCTTCTTTAATCAATATATCTTATCTACAAAAAACAGCGCACACAATAGCCAGGTATTTTGTAGATTCCAGTTTTCTTAAAAAATTTAAAGAGCAACCTATTCTTATGAAGTCCTCGATACACCAGAATCAGTTCATGTTGCAATTCTATCAAGCCATAACGTCATGCCATACTAATAATATTAATAGAAGCAATAAATAGAAACCTAGTTTGAAGTATTTAACTGGACTTCCATCAATTAAGTTGGCTGATGCTGAAGCAGAAACAATCCTATAAACAAATAAACTTTCATTTTTATATCACGCTTAAGAACTCACGATAAAACTCGTAACAAACAAGTATATGAAGCCAAGCTATATGCAGACAAACATCCAACAATTGCTTTAAAAAAAATGCTTGTTCTTGCTACTCTAAGACAATATGACTTATGAATAACTGCTTATTGGCCAAGCAATCAAAGTAATTATATTGTTTATAGTCATTAATAACTGTTAAACATAGTTGTCATAGCAGCCGAAGTAATTTTCTACTATTAAAACAAGATTTATCTAATACCTATTTACCATATTACTAGCGGCTCCCCTGAATAGCTTTTGTCGAAAAAAATCACGATTTCCGGCGGCGAGTTAACAATACTTTCTCTTCTTACGAATGTAAAAGAGAATTGTGAAATCATCCATAACGTTTCCGCGGCGACAGTGCTCCAAATCACAAGCTGCAGAAATGTCAAGCCGTCTTTGTCGCTCGTCGTTCGCTCGACAGGAGCGGGGGGCGGAATGGAGGATAGAGAGAGAGGTGCAGAGAGAAGACACTGATGAGACCAACACGCAGCACGAACGAGACACGGCAAGAGACACGAGACAGCACGAGTCAAGAGACACCAGACCCCAGACGAGAAACCAGACGAGACTAGACAAGCACACGGACGAGACACCCGACACGAGACAAGACACGAGCGAGACACAGACGAGACACGACACGAGGACTAGAATGAGACCACGCAGACGCGACACGAGACCCGCAGACACGAACGTAGATACCAGACGAGCACACGCAGACGCCAGTCATGCAGACACCAGCACCGAAACGAGGACACAGACGAGCACACGAGACTAGACACGCAGACGCCAGACACGAGACAACGAGCCTAAGACAAGACACGCAGACGAACACGCAACAAGACGAGCCTAGACAAGACACACACGCAGACACGAGCACGAGACAAGACACTGAGACGAGACACGATATGAGACCAGACACGAGACTAAGCACACGAGAACGCACCAAAGGAAGACGAGACACAGACGCCAGATATGAAACGCAACAAGACACGCAGACGCAGACACGCAGACGCAACACAGACGCAGTCACGAGAGCATACACGAGACGAGAACAAGACCACAGAGACACGAGACGAGACATGAGACACGCCAACGAAACAAACACGAGAGACACGAGACGAGACAAGCACACGTAGACGAGACACGAGACGACACACGCCAGACGCAGACTCGAGACATACACGAGCACGAGACACGAGCATCAGACGAGACACGAAACGAGACACGAGCACTAAACACGAGACGAGAAAACAAGACGAGACACAGCACGAGACAAGACACAAGACTGACACGAGACGAGACATTGAAAAGACCACGAGCACGCAGACACAAGACAAGACACGATACGAGACGAGACCGAAACGAGACACGACGCACGCAGTCACGAGAAGCAGACACGAGAAGAGACCCCGAGACGCAGACAAGACACAGACGAGACACGCAGCACGCGAAACGAGACGAGACACAAGACGCAGACACGAGACGAGAACACGACACACGAAGATGAAACACGAGACGCAGACAAGACGAGCAGACACGCAGACGAGACAGACGCAGAAGACACGCAGACGCAGACACGCACACACGCCAGATAAACACGGCCCAGCACGAGACAAGGCACGAGAGACACGCAGACAGGACAAGACCAAGGACACGAGAAGCGCGACAGAGCACGCAACCCAAACAAAGACACGAGACGAGACAAACACGAGCGCATGAGCGCCAGACACGCAGACGCAGACACGCAGCCAGATGCAGACACGAGACGTAGAACGAGACGCCATGAGAAGTAGACGACACTAAGACACGAGAGAACACGAGACTAGACACGAGCACGCAGACATGCAGACGAGACAAGACACGAGAGCGTGACACGAGACGAGACATGAACGAGAAGACACACGAGACGAGACAAGACGAGAACACTTAGCACTAACGAGACACGCAAGACTAGGCGACGCAGACATGAGACGAGACGCGAATGAGACACGAGACGAGACAAAAAACGCAGACGAGACTAGACACGCAGCACTAGACGAGACACGAGACGAGCACGCAGACGGACGAGAGACGAGACGAGACGAGAGAATGAGACCGCAGACGAGAGAGAGACGAAGGCGAGAGCAGCGAGACGAGAGCAGAGCACGAGACGAAGGGAGACGAGTCGCAGAAGCAGAGCCGAGGCGAGAGAGGAGACGAGAGAGAGACGCAGACGAGCGGAGCACGAGCTCGCAGAGAGAGACGCAGACAGAGCACCAGACGAGAAGCACGAGACAGCTAGACTATTGAGAGAGACGAGACGAGATGAGAGAGCAGACGCAGGAGAGCAGACGAAGACGATAGAGCAGACGAGACAGAGGACGAGAAGAGAGACGCCAGACGCAGGTGAGATGAGTCAAGAGAGAGCAGACGCAGCACAAGACGAGACGAAGATAGACTAGACAGGCAGACTATGAGAGAGACGAGACGCAGAGAGAGAGGAGACGCAGAGAAGACGCAGACACGAGAGAGCAACACGAGACGACAGACACAGAGACGAGACAGACACGACGCACGCAGACGAGACACGGCACGAATAATCGACACGAGATGAGACACGAGACGAGACAAACACGAGATGAGACGAGACACGCAAGACGAGACACAAGACGAGACACAGAGACGAGAAAGACAAGACACGGACCGAGACACGCAGACGCAGAGACACGAGATGAAACGAGACCGACGCACGAGACGAGAGCACGACACGAGACGCAGACACGAAACGACGAACACAGAGACGAGAAACGAGACGAGCATACGCAGACGAGACAAGCACACGAGACGTACACCATAGACAGAGATAGACCAACCGACATGGAACACAGAAACGAAACGAGACACGGAAACGGTAGACGAACACGAACCTACAAAAAACAACGAAAATCAGGACACACAACAGAGCAGGAACAAGAAACCCGAAACCGAGAGACACGAACACATTAACAAGCAGAGACACGACCACGCGACGCAGAGACAAACCCAAAACGGAAACACGAGACGAACAATACACGCAGACACAGAAGAGAGCGAGAGCAACAGAACGAGAAATGAGACGCAGAACAAGACACGAGATGAGACACAAGACAAGAGACGAACGAGATGAGACACAGACGAGACACGCCAGACTAGACACGAAAACGAGACATACACCACAACGAGACGAAAAAGAGATACGGACCGAGACACGAACGAGACGAGACATGAACGCAACACCAGACCGAGACGAGACACGAGACGCCAGATTAAGACGAACAAGACACGAGACGAGACACAGAGGACGAGATGAGACACAGGAGCACGCAGCACACGCCAGACTTGACACGTGACGAGACACGAGACAACACTAGACGCTAAGACACGAGCAGAGACAAATGAGACGAGACACAGAACCGAGACTTTTAGACAGACACGAAGACGAGAACTAGACAGACAAGACACTGCCAGACGAGACACAAAGCACACGAAACGCAGACACGAGACAACAGACCGCGAGACGATGACATCTGAGACGAGACACCGAGACGCAGACGAGACACGAACAGACGCAAACGACGCGACCCTGCAGACTAGACAAGACACGAGCTACCGAGACCACGAGCGCCGCAGACGACTGACACGCACGCACGAGACGAGACACGACACGAAATCGCCAGCGAAATGGTCCCAGACACGAACGAGACACGCATAGACGAGACAAAACACGGATGCAGACGCAGTCACGCAGACGAGACGAACACAAGACGAGACACGCAGACGGAACTAACAAGACACGAGACGAGAGACACCAGACCGAATACGAGACACATGCACGAGACGAGACAGGCACGAGACGAGACGCCGAAACGAGACGAGACACGAACGTAAGCGAGACACGCATATGAAGCGAGACACGAGACGAGAATAGAACCGAGCACAAGACACGAATAGAAGACCACAGACAAGACCCGAGACAGAGCACGAGACGAGCATGCAGACACAAGGACGAGGACACTAGACGAGACACGAACTAGACACGAAACGCAACGAACACCTCAGACGAGCACAGACGAGAAAAGAGACACGACACCATGACACGAAACGCAGACACCGAGACGCAGACACGAGACAGACACCAAAACCCCGAGACGTCAGACACGCAGACGAGAAACGCAGACGAGCATTAGACGAGACAAGACACGCAGACGAGACCGCAGAAAGACACGAGACGAGAGACACAGATCGCCAGACACGAACACGAGACGAGTATATACACACTGATGCACGGACAGCAGACACACAGACGAGATATTGACACACGAGACGAAGACACGACACACGCCAGCAACACGAGATAGACACGAGCACGAGACACGAAACGAGACACGAAATGAGCACACGCCAGACGAGCACATGAGACGCAGACACGAGAACTAGCCACACGAGACGAGAAACGCAGCACCCAGAACACGAACCGAGAAAGACAACGAGACGAAACCGCAGACGTACACGAGACCAGTACATGAGACACGCAGACGAGACAACACGAGACGAGACAACAAGACAAGACACGAGCACGAGACACACAAACGTGAGACGCAGACACGAGACGAGACACGAGACAAACGCCGAAACGAAGACATGAGACGAAGAACGAACGAGAACACCCAGCACCCGAGACGAGACACGAGACAAACACGAGCCATACGAAGACACAGACCCGAGACGCACACACGAGACGAAACACAGAACGACATGAGACAGAGACTAGAAGCGAGACAAGACACGAGCACGAGAGACAAAAGACGAGACACGACACACGAGACAAACTCGAGGACAGACCCAAGACGAGACGCAGCATGTACACAGACGAGACACAACGAGAACGAAACCGATACGAGACATAGACACGCTGACGAGACGCCGCAGCATAGCCAACACAACAGCAGACGTGCCAGACGAGACGAGACATGCAGCAGAGAACGCAGAAAACGATCACAAGACACGAGACGAGACAAGACACGAGACGAGACACGCAACGCGAGACGACACACGAGCACGAGCACACGCTGACGACACATACACGATGACAGACACGAAACCAGGACGAGACACGAGGACAGACGAGACGCAGAGAGACGATACACGAGAGATGAGCACGAAGTACGAGAGAGACGCCAGTCGAGAGAGAGACCGAGACAGAGACGAGAGAGAGACGCAGACGCACTAGACGAGCAAGTGCACGCAGACAGAGACGCATTGCAGATGACGCAGACGCCATTGAGAGCACGAGCAGAGAGTGAGAGAGCACAGCAAGGAGGACGAGCGACTCAGCATAGCGTCTTTGTTTTCTTCACTACTGTACGACCTCTTCTCTTCTCCCTCTCTTGCCTACCCGACGTGGCGGCCAGCCCATTGGTGCGAGCGCCGCCTCGAGCCGTGCGACGCCGCGGAGAAGGCGCCTTATCTGCTCAGACGGGCGCGGGCGAACGCTCCGGTACGTTTCGCGACGGTCCGACCGTCAGCGCTCGCTCGAGCCTCCGCAGAGGCGCCGCCTTGCTGCCCTTCTATTCGCCCTCAGCAGATAGAAAACGCCGTCTCGTACCGCGTATTCTGAGCCTTATCCAACCTTACTTTGGTCTTCGATTTTTTATCAAGAGGCTTAATAACTCTTATAGGGAAACAAGAAATTCGCCCGATGATATTGTTAGAGCCCGAAGCGGAAAAATACGCGCGGAATTCATACCCTTAAGCCACAAAGCCACGAAGCAATCACTTGTATATTTACTTCAGCAATCTGTTTGTATTTAGCTACTGTACTTTAAAGTCGACACTTCATAATCGTGAAAGCTACTCGCTCTCTCTATGGCTCTTATCTCTCGCCATCGCTATGTCTTCTCACCCTCTCTCCACACACATACAGCTACTCTATATATATAGTGCCAATAACAAGTCAATCTTCAGGTGAGATAAATTCGTAATAATATTTATTGATAGATTCTATACATAAAATGCTACAATATTGTAAGCAACAAATAATTTAAACCAAGAGTGCAACAGAATAGCACCAGACTTTGTCGTTCCATTTACTTCCTCTGAAGCATATCTTCCGTTTTCTGTAACTCTATATCAGGTGACTTCATATTGATGTCTTGCAAAGAATTTTTTCCACATTTTCTTACTTTAGGATCCATATTAGTTAATGGCAAAAATATGCCATATTTCTTCATTAAAATACTTTAAAGCGCTATTGATAGAAGTTAACATAGAATCCCATATGCACAGTTGAATGAAAATTTGGAGTCGTTAAGAGTGTGAGCACCCTGAAATGCATATTTTAAACTCCATTTTACCAAAAAAGTTCGACGTTTTGAAACGCAAACAGAAATTATTGCAGCCAGCTATATTACAAAAACATGTGCTTAACATATAATAAATTACCCGTATTGTAAAATCTCACACCATCAGCCATTATTTCAGAAAATCCTTTTTTTTACGTTTTTGAAAAAAAAAGAGAAAAAAAACAACAACAACAAAGATATTTCAAAATGTAATTTTCTTCATGTTCACAAAACCAGCGATGGCCGTTGTTGGTACGCAATGTAAATAACAATCGCAGGCCACGCGAACACCATACGACAAAGGGCGGACCAAACGTGACAACGTGAAAACGCCGGAAAGGCAGAGCAAGAGACAAAATGAGATAATGAAGACATAATGTGCCCAATTTTGGCTATAATGAAGCCAAGCGAAAAAGCGAACAAGATTAAGACACTGCACGAACATATGAACAAAAATGGAGTATAAAAACAGGACAAGGAAAATGAGCACAATGCAACAAGAGCGACATAAACGGCCAAGCCCAGACCAAAATGCAGCCAAGATGACAATCAAAAAAATAGAAACATATAGCCCGACAATCTTTATATACGAAAATTTAATGACTTTAAACAACATGTATTTAATTTAACGTTACAAATCGAAACTCAAGAGTTCACCAAAATATTTAATGTCACTCTCGACATCTTAACGCCGCTTTCTATAGACGCGCTCTTAAATGCGTTGTTGGATGAGTTGGCTTGCTAATGGCGCGTAAGCACCACGTAATGTCAAAAACTATATTTCGCGAAATGAGTGCTGCGCGCCGAATACTATGCGCCCCTTCTGAAGCGCCGCACCCACAGGCGACGCACCCTTCGCGCCCCCTCCCACGCACGCCTCGCAACAGCGCTTCCAATTAATATGCAAACTGCTTCTGAGCAGAAGAAAGAGAACAAAACAATGTAAACTTATCTACTATTACCAAAATGAATTGCCCGAGCGGGTGAATTAGTAACATTAAATAATCATAATTATACATCTTTAAATTCGCGTCAATGCTACAAAAGCGCACAAAGTAAAGACTATAAATTATAGTTACATAAACAAAGTAAGCAAACCTTTATATACTCATATATGAAAACTAAAAAGTAGGAATGTAATTAGTAAGTACATTGTCTGTAAGCGACCGTATACTCCACTGACTTTCTCGCGCTCATGCACCGTAAGAGACAGAAAACAGCGTACCTGCGAGTGTGAGTCGCCTTGACTCGTATCAATTGCTGCCGCGACCTGATCCCTTGCTGCAATGTCGCGAAGTGATGTACACGATACACTACCCAACCACCATTGCTAATTATTGCGACAATTGCAGATTATCAAGCAGTGAAAATGCGTGTAGGCGCTGCCTTAAACACGACGCAGCACACACATAATTAAATTACTGTTGCCAGCTCCACCGAAAACCTTCCGATAATTTTATGCTAATTAAGAATAATTTGCTGCATTCTCGCAACTTTCCGATGTTGCAATACTTTTTCCGCACGGCATTAAAGAACGCTAGCAAAGCTAATTGTATATTCTCCCTCTCTCATCTCACCCCGTCTCAAATTACCATCTACGCTAACAGTGCATTCCAAGTTCCGAGTTAATATAAATTTTCAAAATATGCCTTAAACCTGTCTAAAGTAAAATATCGAGTTTAGAATATTTCACTTTTCTCTTTCTATTTCTCGTCAGCGCAATCCTAACAGTTTATACCTCGGAAAAATCAAGATAAAAAATTTAATAACAAAATATTTTTTTACGCCGGCCCGCCGCTATTCAACCTTGCACCACTCACAGAAAGCACGCTAGCCCAATGTAGCACACTGATGTGCGCTTATTAACACTGTTTGAAGCAAACATGCAGGTAAGCTAGCTGCCATAATATGAATAAAACACTAAGCATCACACATAATAATCTACAGCGTATTAATGAACGAATGGCTATAGAATTCTTGCAGAGTAAGAACGCGCAAAGAAATGCAAAGAGATTATGCGGCCATAAAAACCCAAATACATACTTGTATGAACATAGTGTAGTCATATCAGTTCCCTTGTACGAATCTGACAAATAGAGCACGTGCATTCTATGCTCGATGCTGACAGCGCTGGCGGCGAGAGGCATCCGGCATGAACAATCGGCAAACCTACCGCGCAGTCGGAAGGAAGCACCGCTCGCCGTTCGTGGGTGCGCACTGGGCGGCAACTTGTGGAACCCCGTAGACAGTGCTAAGGCTGGGCTAAACACCGCAATAAGATACTCAATTATCAGCTTATACGTGCATGCAGGTGTGATATACTTGGCATTTCATAACTAATATAAAGACGGTTGTCATTGCCCTAACAATATTATTATATGCAATAAGCGCAGCTTCATGCGCTTAGCCATATCATCAGTTGCTCTGATTACAAGTAGCAAAAAACAAAACAAAACATTAACAACAAATGATATAAAGGTTACAAAATAAATTAAACAATTTTTTGCGAAAATATATAACATTCTAGAAACCGAAGAAAGAAAAAGTGGGACAGCGGACGGTGGTTAAGCCACTTATATACTAAAGAAAGCGAATGAATAGAAGTAGACACGTACATTTTTTTTAACAGAAAAACAATAGTAAATGTAAGTTGCAGCCTGTCCCTTACCTAAGCTGGATGGAAGCCACAAAAAAACGACACGCGCGTCGGACGGCCGAGCGGAATTAAGTACCGGCCGTGGAGTGCGAGGGGCAAGGCCCTGGGTGCGACGTGCGCTGTTCACGTGCACGCCCCGCGGGGCCGGTGTAGCAGGCAGACTGGAATAGTAATTCTAGTAAGTTTATTCTAATTATCAGCGCCCACGACCTCGCCTTGTGCTCGTGCACCAGGAAACATTCCTTCTAGTAACGGAGTCGAATATGTTTATTGTAAACATATATTCAGGTTGTTGAGCATATTTCAAAAAATACTCAATAAATTACAACGCGTTCACGTCTGTTGATTATTGCTCCGCACAATAGGATCATTGTCGCACATCGCTTAGAAAGGAGGACTAATGTGACTTTTGTACGTTGGGAATATACCAGCAGATGACAAAGAAAACTAAAGTTTACACAGAATACATGATTACAAACGGGGCTTTTGTGCTACAGCGGCCATCAATTAATGTTACCGCAGTCTCTACTGACGGAGGTGCTTCCGCGTTCGAGTTCCACGGC